AAATAGGATGGTATAATGGAATATGATCCTGGAGGGGATATTGTAAAGGAAGGTGAAATTGGGCCAAACGTGGGCCCCTGCCTGGTGTGCAATCAGGTCAAAATAGTTTACACACCAAGTGATTAAGAGGAGAGAAAATTATTTATTACAAAGCGGCAATGTAAGGAGACGGGCCAGTACGCAAATCTGACTTCCCGAATGGAGGTCGGGATAGAGTTTTGTAAGCTTCAGGAGAGGGGGATAATACATATTCTAAAAACTTCAGGGATTTGGGCGTGAATTTACTGAGGATTGGCTAAGGCTTCCTTCGCCTTGGTTTAAAGGGACAGTTGATTTTTAATGCAGTGCGCTGCACACTGGATGAGTCACATCGGCTTCTTGCCATCAGCTGATCGGGGCTTGGGGAGAATGTTAGTTCCCAGCACCTTTGTTCCCATTGGTCTCACTGCGCATGTCTGCAGGCCAAGGTTAATTTTCAAGTTGTCTCCTGAGCACACATTAACATACTTTTTCTATCGGGATAACATGGAGAGGATGTGTGAATTGACCTTTCATTATAATCAGTTCTTAAGGAACTGAGTTACCATGTTTACTTACTTGCCTCCAACCAAGGTTACAGACAGGATGCCCGATTAAGCTTTGATTCATGGGGTATCATGTTGCCTATCTGTCTTAACGAGGTGGGGGTGAGAGTTGAGCTTTCATTCTATTCCATTCTTAAGGAATTGAGTTATCATATTTACTTATCTGCCTTCAACCGAGGATGCAGGCTGAACTTTAATTCCACTTGACTTCAAAGGCAGTGGATAACTTTTGATTGAGTGTCACTGAAAACCTACCTGAGGAAGTGACATTGGCACTGAGACTGGCGTCATCCCTGCAAAGATGTGTAGGAGGAGATGATAGCAACGGAAAAATATGAAAGTACTAACAAGTTTGGTGGGTTTGAGTTTTGGAATGCAGGCCTGGAGCAAAGTGACAGGCAGAGGTGGAGGCAGTTTCTGCAGTCCAAGTAGCTTTCCTATATCCCTCCCTGCTTGGTCTAGGGATAGTCACCCACTCTTGCACACATATGCCCATGTACTGACTAGTCTTACTGAACACAGCCCAGGTCTACTTGAAAACAAATGTTTAATTGTATCTCAGCACGGTTTTTGGAGGAGGTTACCTTCTGTAGTCAAATGGAATATGAACTGGATTTAGAACAGTTGAGAGCACTGTCCCAGTGAAATCAAATATCATAATCAAAATATCAAATTAGACTGTCCTGCAATTAGATTATGCAAGAATTATAGAAAGTTTGCCGAGAAATACTAATTTGCTACGAAACAGTCTGATTTTCCCATTCTTCTAATGAGAGAGCTTAGTAGGTATTATGATTTACTTGAAACTTGTGTCTCAGTAGCATATTTTGCTTGATTTTACTGTAGAAAAGGTGAAAAGTTCCAGCTTACTTCTTACTATTCCATGTTATATCATCCATTAAAAGGAACGTATATTGAAGGTAAGTTAGCATTATATAAAAAAACCAAACTCACTGCCGCTGTGTCGGATCCAACTCCTAGCAACCCCTCATGGGGTTTCTACAGAAGTAGATTGCCTAACCTTCCTTCTGAGGAGTGACTGATGGGTTTGAACCAACAGCCTCCTGGTTAGCAGTCAAATGCTTTAGTTACTATGCCACCAGAGCTCCTAGCATTATATAGTCTTTGAATACTTATTCAGATTCAAGAATTTTCACTGATTTTTACCAAAAGATTTTTAGATATTATGCATCTAAATTCATTTTTCACTTGACCACAAGTCTTGTTTGTTTTTAACTCATCACTCAGTTCTTTGCTCCTTGTTCATTTCTACAATGTACATTAAAATTACATTGATTTTAATAATAATACATTGTGAATTATGCTGTACAGAATATACTTAGTAGCAGTCATTCATCCATCTTTACTAAGCTATATGCTAACAATGCCCTAATATCTTCTTTTTTAAATTTTGCTGTTAGTTCCCTCAAAACATACTAAAAGACACCTTTAGAAGCAGAAAATCTTATGAGTCAAAATGTTCCTAAATGTAATGTGGGACATAATGTCACTGAACTTTAGGAAACCAGCTTGTTCAATTAGGATGTTGATACCACTGTTCTAACCTGTTGTTTTCAGCATGTTGTTGTTATGTGCCATCAAGTCGGATCCGAGGCAGTATCACTACGGAAGTAGATTGCCCCATCTTCCTTCCAAGGAGTGGCTGGTGGGTTGAACCGCCAGCCTTCTGGTTAGCAGTCAAGTGCCGTAGGCACTACGCTACCAGAGCTCCCTGTTTTCAGCATAGACTGGTATTACTGAACTCTCTATAGGAATTCAGAGTAATTCTGTGGGATTGGCTATTTATTTATTTTTAAGCCTAGCTTTGCCAAATTTTATCTCCATAAGAAAAACATTTAATTCAGGGAAAGGTGTTTTTTTGTTGTTTTTTTTTAAAATTACTGAAGCTTAAGATAATGGATCAAAGTTATTATTAGGTGCCTAAGGTATTTGACTGCTAACCAGAAGGCTGGCGGTTCAAACCCACCACGCACTCCTCGGAAGGAAGGTTGGGCAATCTACTTTCATAGTGATATCGCCTTGGAAACCCAAGGAGGGGTCATTATGAGTCAGGTTCAACTAGATGGCAGTGAGTTTGGTTTTTTAGTTTTAGTATAGTCCATTTTCCAAATAATAAAGATGATTATCGATAAGATTTTCATTCACATTTCTGTTTTTAACATTTCTAAGTGTCTTTTTCCGCCAACACTTAAATGCAAGCATCTCATTTCAGCTATTCACAGAACTCAAATCCAGCACCTGTCAGCTGCAAAGGAAAATACTTTCCAACTGCCAGAGCAGTATAGGTTAGTGACTCGGAACTTTTTTTTTTTAATATAATTGGGAGGAGGGTACACTTGATAAAATTTATTGCCATTCCCCCAAATGCAACTTGCCTGTTTTTGTCTCCATTCCTTAGAGTCCTTCATTTCATTCCACCTACTCATTATTCAGTGTTCAGCTCAATAAGCCTCCCTGGAAAGCACTTCCTCCCTCCACACGCACAAGACCTGACCTCTAACTTCCACTAATACTTTACCCTCTTTCAGTTCTTACTGCTAATTGTCCTTAGTTGTTGTTTTAGTTGCCATGTATAACAGAACAAGGAAACGTTGCTTTAGGGCGTTATATTTTATCTACATCTAGCTTATCAAGAGGTAGCATATGATCAAGAACCCATGGTATTGAAAGAAGAAATCCAAGCTGCACTGAAAGCATTGGCAGACAACAAAGCTCCAGGAATTGACTGAATACCAATTGAGATGTTTCTACAAATGGAACATTGGAAGCACTTCCTCATCTGTGCCAAGAAATTTGGAAGACAGTGACCTAGCCAACTGATTGGAAGATATTTGTGCCCGTTCCAAAGAAAGGTGATCCAACAGAATGTGGGAATTATAGAACAGTATCATTAATATCACTCATAAATAAAATTTTGATGAAGGTAATTAAAAAAATTATTGCAGCAGTACATTGACAGGGAACTGTCAGAAATTCAAGCCACGTTCAGAAGAGGACACAGAGCGAGGGATATCATTGCTATTGTAAAATAGAACTTAGTTGAAAGCCAAGAATACCAGAAAGATATTTATTTGTGTTTTATGAACTATACAAAGGCATTCGATTGTGTTGTTGTTAGGTGCCGTTGAGTCAGCTCCAACTCATAGTGACCCTATGTACTGTAACAGAAGGAAACACTGCCCAGTCCTATGCCATCCTCAAAATCCTTACTGTATTTGAGCCCATCATTGCAGCCACTGTGTCAGTCCATTTCGCTGAGGGTCTTCCCTTCTTCGTTGACCCTCTACTTTACCAAGCATGATATCTTCTCAAGGGAATGTTCCCTTCTGACAATATGACCAAAGTAAGTGAGACAAAGTCTGGTCATTCTCATCTCCAAGGAGCATTCCAGCTGCACTTCTTCAGGACTAACCAGATCACAGCAAATAAAGGATAATGTTTCGAAGAATGGCAATTCCAGAGCACTTTATTATGCTTGTGTAGAACCTGTACATAGACCAAGAGGCAGTCGTTCAAATAAAAAAATATACTGTGTGGTTTAAAATCAGGAGAATTTTGCATCAAAGTTGTATCCTTTCACCATACGTATTCAGTTTGTATGGTGAGCAAGTAGTGCAGCAAGCTGGATTGGATTTAAAGAATGGGGCATCAGGATAGGAGGAAGATTTATTAACAACCTTTGATGGCACAACCTTGCTTGCTGAAAGTGAAAGTGACTTGAAGCACTTACTGATGGTCACAGATATCCTTGACAATTGCAATCTTGTCTCTTTTTTATCATAATGTTGCTTATTGGTCCAGTTGTGAAGAGTTTTGGTTTTTTAACATTGAGGTGTAATCCGTACTGAAGGTTTATAGTATTTGATCTCCATCAGTAAGTGCTTTAATTGGTATCTGTCAATTCCTGGAGGCTTATTTTTTACCAGTGCCTTCAGTGCAGCTTGGACATCTTCCTTCAGTACCATTAGATCTTGATCAAATGCTACCTCCTGAAATGGTGGAATATCAACTGATTCTTTTTCTTCACCTATATTCCTTCCATTTTCTCTTGATGATTCCTGCATTGTTCTGTATTTTGCCCAGAGAATCCTTCAGTATTGCAACTTGAGGCTTGAATTTTTTTCTTCAGTTCTTTCAGTTTGAGAAATGCTGAGCATGATCTTCCCTTTTGGTTTTCTAACTCCAGGTCTTTGCACATTTCGTTATACTACTTTGTCTTCACGAGTTACCCTTTCAAATCTCTGTTCAACTCTTTTTACTTCATCATTTCTTCCATTCATGGGCTTCCAGTAGGGCAGAAAAGAAGATTGAACTCATTAAATGTGAGGACTATACCCTAGAATCCATCAGAATATTGTCATGTAACTCACAGTTAGTGACTTTTACGCAGGAGCCATGGCATACTACAGCACAAGACTGAAGACCAGACAAACTTACTCATGGGTTGGCAGGCCATTGTTGGATCAAAAACTACACCACCAAACCTACAAGTGAGTGATGGGATTGTCCTGGTAATGTAGTTTTTCCAAGCTAAACTGTTAATAACAGATCAAGCCTGTTCTAGTAACTATAGATTAAAGACTGAGGGATAGTAGATATAATTGATTATAAAGAAGGGTTCTGTTTGATGGTATAAAGGTAGTAGTTTGTGTTAAGAGAAGGTATTGTTATAGCAGGTTAATGAAATTTGTTATGTATGATAATGTCATCTAAATTTAAGATGGATTCTGTATAATTCTGTCAGAAAACAGGGTAGAATTAGATGTTAGTACTATGTCCTCCCTAGCCCTAGAGCTCTCTGAACAATTTAATATCATCATTGGATGGCTTTTCAGCCTTAGGAAGCCTTTGTCGTTCTGTGGCAATAACTCAGAGGAGTCGGAGTTCACATTAAAGCCTCTGTATTCACTTGTTCCAAAACAATTTATTCAATCCATTTCCTCTAGTCTTGAATGTAACTAGGTAAATTGGTGTTCTAGTGGGAGAACAGTCAGCAGAGAGAAACTATTTAGGGGATTTTCCAGTTGGACAGCACATTCCTCTGCCCAGAGAGTCTTTAGGAGCTCTAATGGCATAGTGTCTAAGGCATTTGCCTGCTAACCAGAAGGCTGGTGGTTCAAACCCACCAGCCATTCCTCGGAAGGAAGGTTGGACAACCTACTTCCGTAGTGATACTGCCTCGGAAATTCAAGGAAGGGTCACTATGAGTCAGATCCGACTCGACAGCAATGAGTTTGGTTTAGAGGGTCTTTAGAGCTTAGCCTGCCTTAAATGATTTTCTGACATGCTTCTCTGTTACTTTGCAGTGAAATATGTGTGAAAGCAGAAGGTTGTTCGACTCAGATTCACATTCAAGTTGGACAGTTCGTGCTGATTGAAGGCGATGATGATGAAAACCCGTATGTTGCTAAATTGATTGAGTTGTTTGAAGATGGTGAGTTTGAGACCGGAGTGAAAACGTTCTTGTCATGCACCATTGGAAAGCACTAATTGGTGGGGAAGAGTGGAAGTTCCTGATTCTTCTGTTCATAGTAGCATATAGGGCACCTTTGAGTGTAAGCTGGAGTTATTGAAACTAGTTTTACCTTCTTAGATCTAGTGAACCTGTACACTTACCAGAACGGCATTGGGTAAAATAAGATTGGAGATATCAAGGATTTCGTTTTGCCATTAATGTTAGGAATGAGTAAGAATGGCCATCAAGGCAGTATTTTTGGAATGGAGAAAAGGGATGAATTCAGGGATAAAATAGATGCCTTGCACTATGACAGAGGTGTGTCCTGTAACTTTGGCATTTTGTAATCGCAACCTCTTTACAAGGAAAGAGGTAAATCAGATTGGGGATGTGTTATCATTTGGTGTTCTGGCAGGAAAATGAAAACAAGTGTTTTACTCAGGGATTTGATTACAGTTGTTAAAAAGGCTGGGGGAACAAAAGGAAGAAGATGATATCGCCCTGGGATCAGTAAGTGCAGGAAGCCACTACTGCTGGAGGAGCAAGAGGGAAGATAGTGATAACCAGAGCCTACCAGCCCACACTTACAGCCTCAGTCCAAGCTTCTATCCCTCTGCAAAACAGGAGAGCACTGAATGGTGGGATGGGGTGGGGCTCCAAAAGGAGGGTTAAAAAGTAAGATGGTAGTTTGAAACTGTACAAAACTGTACCTTCCCAAAGCTGGGAGAGCAAAGACTGTGGCAGTTAGATACTCTGGTGGTGGTTTGTATGCCTAAAAGAAGGAACTGGTAGCATGAGTAGATAAAGATGTTTTACATTACACAGATCAGAGGAGTATTTGAAAGGTGTGGAGAGCATCTTCATCAAACCGTCATCCACTAGAGGGAGCACATCAGCAGAAGTTTGGTCTTTTGTGCAGATATTAGAATCACTGAGATGCTCCGTAGAATGGCTTTAATCTTTGAAGAGAGCTAAAGAAAAGAAGGGAAATGGTGATGGTACTGGAGTGTATGTCCTTTGACTGGGAGCTGATGCTTGGGTGGAGTGATGTTGTTTTTGTTGTTGTTATGTGCTGTCGAGTTGGACCCGACTCATAGTGCCCCCTCCTTGGGTTTCTGAGGCATTATCACTATGGAAGTAGATTGCCCAGTCTTCCTTCCAAGGAGTGGCTGGTAGGTTTGAACCGCCAGCCTTCTGGTCAGCAGTCAAGTGCTTTAGGCACTACGCTACCAGAGCTCCTGGTGTGGAGTGATAATAGAAGTATATTATAATATTACAGCTGAAGATGTAAGCATACATTTGCCAGATGTGATCTCAGTTTCAGTGGCCATCCCTCTAGTTCTTGCTCACGTTTTTACTTCGTTCCTGTTTGATGGCTTCTTTATAATTACTGTTGAGGCCTGGTTAAGAGCTCGGCTGCTAACTGAAAGGTCTGCCACTCTGTGAGAGAAAAGACGTGGTGGTCTGCTCTGTAAATATTACAGCCTTAGAATCCCTATGGGCAGTACTACTCTGTCTTATAGGGTCACTATGAGTCAGAATCAACTCAACAGAACACAACAATCTTTACATGAACAGATTGCCAGGTCCCATCTGTCCCCCGTTCTGCCCCCTGCCCCCACAGTGGCTGGTAGGTTCTAGCCTCTTTGTTTAACAGCTGAGTGATTAACTGTTTTACAATTACCAGGATATGATTAGAGCAGCTCCTCTCAAATGCCTTTTATAATTTTTTTGTTGGCTGATAGCACCATTAAGAAGTGGAGCAAAGTGGGAAGAGCAGAGGTACTGGATAGAGTCAGATCACTGCTGGTTGATCCTGGGATCTTTGACAAATTATTTAAGGTCTTGTAACCACAACTTAGGAGCTCTGGTAGCATAGTGCCTAAGGAACTTGACTGCTAACCAGAAGGCTGGCGGTTCAAACCCACCAGCCACTTCTCGGAAGGAAGGTTGGACAATCTACTTCCATAGTGATACAGCCTCAGAAACCCAAGGAGGGATCTCTATGAGTCGGGTGCGACTCCATGGCACATAACAACAACAATAACCACAACTTGGTATTACCTGTAAAGAGGGGATAGCTGTAGCACCTACCTTATAGGGTTATTATAAGGATAATATATATCTAGTATTTAGCACAGGATCTGGCACATAAGAAGTAGTTAATAATTTATTTTAGTAGATATGTTTGCAGATATTCTTATCCTTCTTCTTTCCTCCTAATCCCTCCTAGATTCCAAACCTCATTCCAAGAAATGTGCTCAAGTACAGTGGTGTATCCGATTCTGTGAAGTCCCTGAGTGTAAACGGCATTTGTTGGGCCGGAAGCCTGCTGCACAGGAGATATTCTGGTATGACTACCCTGCCTGTGATGGCAACATTAATGCAGAGACCATCATTGGCCCTGTGCGGGTAGGTGGTGCCTTGGTTCTCTCAGTTCTATTGTGAAACTTATTTCTGTCTGCCTCCTAAATTGCATGATCTCAAAAATAATACTCACTCTGATTCACCCCAAAGGAAATGCATTCTCTGCTGTCATGTCTGTTTGCCTGGAGAGCACTTACCATGTGTTAGGAGCCTCCTAGAGGAAATAACATTTAAGTTGTGACCTAAGGGATGAGTAGAAATTAGCAAATATGTTTCAGTGGGAAATTATATTTAACTATGATTGTGGCAGGCATCGAGCATTGTGAGGCTAAATGTGATTGTTTAAGTGAGGATTTCATCTTGAGTGCTAGTTGCTGCCAGCATGTTTATGTTATGGGATTTCATAGCAAATCAGGTGCTACTGAGCTGTTGGTTTATAAGCTCAATTGAGACACTGGTGTTGAAGCTAAAGATAGGGATAATTCCTAGGCCTCAGAGGTGGGCTTAGATCATTATGTGAACTGTGGTTGTATGGTGACTCAGGTGATTTGTTTAATGGTAGATCAAAGAGGCTTTGGCCTGGCAGGGTTCTGTTCACATTTTTCTAGATTGTGGACCCAGCATAATATGTGCTATAAAATAGTGTTATCTCTGAGGAAAATCAATGAGAGATAGAAAGTTGAAGTAGTGAAAGGCAGATGTAGAAGTTAAAACAGCAGATTTTGTACAGTTGGAAAGGCACAGGGGAAGGCAACAGTGCTTGAGCAACAGTATGATGGTGGGATAGAATAGGCCCTGACAAGCTTAGCTCACCTCGTGATGAAGAGCCATATTGAGGAGTATTGAGCACTCAGTAGATAAGATGCGTCTGGATTTTTTTTTAGAAGGCATTGTAAACAAATTGAGTAATCTGATCTTAGCCCCCTAGGTGACCCAAATGGTTTCGGTTTTTCCATTCAAACACACTCAGAGTTGCCTCAGAAGTCAGGCCTAGTACTTGTTTCATAGCCTTGAAAACCCTGTGGAACAGTTCTACTCTGTCACTTGGGGTCACCATGAATCAGAATCAATTAGTCTGATCTTGGTATAATTGATAGCTATTATAGACTACTGAGACAGGAGAGCATGCTTAGGAAAGTTTTTGTGGGAAAACTTGTTTGGGTGAATAGAATAGACTGGAAAAGAAAGCATTGTTGAGAATGGATATCAGCTAGGGAGGAGTTGGTGGGAATAAAGTGGGAGTGAGGTGATGTATACTTGAACCAGGGTGAGAGTAGTAGGAATTAAGAGGTAAAGCCAATAAACAAAAACGAAACAAAAGAAATTTTACTCTAGATATTTTATTGGTGTCTTTAAAGCTATTTATGATTAAGTGATAAATGGTTAGTAAATATTTAATTATACTCGTGTTTTTCTCTGTCTGTATGCTATGCCACGTCTATACCTCTTTAGACTAAAAAGTAATGTTATAGGCACAGATAGATGTAGACATAGACGCCTCTCAATTATAGCTCTGATGGAGCATTCCTTGGCTCTTTTGGTCCTGATCTCTTGTACTCTGCTATTCCTAAATTCAGGTAGTGGCTTTAGCTCCAGATGAAATGATACCTGTGGATTTGAAAAATGAAAAGACGCTCTTTGTGAAACTATCGTGGAATGAAAAAAAGTTCACACCACTGCCCCCAGAACTATTTGCAGAGTTGAATAAACTGCAAGAAATCAGCCCCAGATGCCAGAAACCTATGGAAACCAAAACTAAAAGCATAGAAAGCCCTCCTTGGACAACAACAGAGCCTGCAGTGAAAAGGATTGAATCAAGGCACTGTGCCTCTAAATCTTGCCAAACTCCTACCCATTCTGTCACTCCAAGGGCAAGGAAGAAGCTGGAACTCAGCAGTAAGTATGAATGAGTCACAGTGGGCAATATTGAGGCTAAAGAAGTGTTAATTCAAGTGACAGTGTTGAGTTAGTGCATCACTGGGCCAGATACTGATTAGACATATGTTGAAATTTCATTCCATTAACTGGGTGGCTGAGTAGGTGACCCTTGTGTTTCCTCCTTTCCCTGAGATTTATTCTTTTTGTCTAGCATCTTGCAAAATACAAAGGTGAACGTACAAACCACCACCACCACCTTTTTTTGTTGTTGTTGTTATCAATAAACTTTAAGGACTCTCTTATGTGCTAGGCCTTGGGGCACAAGGACCTAACTACAATTTCATTGATGGAGTCATAAAAATCAGCTATCACAGTGGTCTCATATGTCTTCTTATATGGGAATATTCAGTGTTCTTTGGAAGCAAGGGGAGCATCTAACTAGTAGCAAGGTCCAGGCCCAGGGGAATGAATGAAAGAAATCATCTAAGATGAGCCCCCGGGTTTCTGAGCTTGAGGGGCTTACCAGGTAAGAAGATACAATATCAAACAATTTCAGAGCAATTAGATGCTAAAATGATACTACAGTAAGGCTTTTTACCTCTAGTATGTGCCGTTTAAGTGGAACCTTGAGAAATGGTTAGGATTTAATATAGTGGGACGCAAGTAGCTTGAACATACAAAATTTAAGCACAAATTACTGGTATGTGTGTGTGACTTGGCTAAAATGAGGATGCTTTGAGAAGCTGTGGGAAATAAGTTTAGAGAATTAGGATGAGCTTCATCTTAATCTTCCTGAAACGTTCCTTCCTTGCCCAGAAAACTTCCCAGGGTCCTTCTTTGATAATAAATAAGAAATATTAGACTATTTCTTGGCAGACTATTAAAATGGGAAGGTTACAGTGTCTGACATTAGAAGATCTTGGGCAAGACCCTTGGAAATCTGGCCACAACTATTTTTCTTCCTTCTACCGTTTTCTTCATGAACTTGGTGGGGCTGGTCTCAACTCTACCATTTGCCTCTAAACCTTTGTTCTCAACACGTCCCTGCCTGGAACTGTTTTTACTGCTCCTTCCCTCTGCCACCTACTTTCCACTTCCACCGTGAACGCTACTATCCTTAGCCTACAGAGGTCACTTTATTCCCACCCCCCACCCCGACACACACACGCACACCTGTTTTGAAAAACTTAAAATCTACAAAGAAATTGCAAGAATCAAATGAACATTCATATTCTTCACCTAGATTCACCTATTATTAACATTCTGCCTCATTTGCCTTCTCTCTTCCTCTCACCTCTCTTCTCTCTCTGTTTACATAGATATGTATACATTTGTGTCTATATGTAGTTATGTACATATGTGTGTATACACATACATAGGCACACATATATGATATACACATGCACTTTTAAGTATGTCTCCTTCAGAACAATGGCATTCTCTTTTATAACCACAATACAATTATTTATAAGAAATTATAAATTTCTTACATAAAATATTTAACATTGATACAACATTACTATCTAATACAGGGGTTGATAAACTCCAGCCCTATGGCCAAATTTAGCCTACTTGTTTTTGTACAGCTTTCATCTAAGAATGTTTTTTTTTACATTTTTAAAAACTGAAAACAAAAACAATGTGCCAAAAAGACTTGGAAGTAGCCTAAAAGAACTCTGGTAGTGTAGTGCCTAAGGTACTTGACTGCTAACCAGAAGGCTAGTGGTTCAAATCCACCAGCCACTCCTTCAGAAGGAAGGTTGGGCAATCTACTTCCATAGTGATACTGCCTCGGAAACCTAAGGAGGGGTTGCTATGAGTCGGGTCTGACTTGACGGGACACAACAACAACAACATCCCTTTTACAGAAAAAGCTTGCCAACCTCTGATCTCTTAAATAGTTCTCATTCCAATTTACATGTGAAACAGTAACATAAAAGAACCAAACTGTCTAAAACAGTTACTAGTTTATCTTTCCTGTATTCTGTTTTGTGAAAATCAGCAGATATACACATATGTATTGTTATTAATGGTTCTCTCTTACCCACTGTGTTAGCTACTGGATATATTCTTTTCTACCTTGCTCTGTGCCTTAGGAAGTCGCTCCATGGCAGTTGTAAAATATCCTCCTCTTCCTTTTATATATAAGTAACTAGGCCTTTTGACTGTTTTGTGTACGAGCCAAATTCTTTGCATGTAAGTTACTTGTGAGAAGCTCTCTGGTTGAGCACTTGACTGCTAACCAAAAGGTCGATGCTTCAAACCCAGGAGCCGCTCTACAGAGAAAGATGAGTCAGTCTGCTTCTGTAAAGATTATAGCCTTAGAAACCCTATAGGGCAGTTCTACTCTGTCCTGTAAGGTCACTATGAGTCAGAATCCACTCAATGGCAATGGGTTTGGTTTAAGTGATTACTATTCTTGATATTTCTTTAGTATAGTCTGGTTTTATGGACTTGATATAAATAATGTAAAACATTTGGAAAATGAAAAAAACTACTAAAGAATAATCTGTAATACTATCATTTAGAAATTATTACAGTATTTTTTGACTGTTGATTATCTAAGAACTTGAAAGTTAGGTCAGAGAATTTAAACTTGACACTGTTACATAATTAGAGGAGGAAGGATATGGTGAAAATATTTTGGATTAATTGTTTGACAGAAAGTTGTGAAACTAATAGAGGTATGCAGGGCGTTCAGGACTTTGGGACGTTTTTATATTAGTCTTCACGTGAATCACTTTCACATCTACCAATTAAATAATTTTAGCTTTTAGCTTCATATTTATAGACCTTTAACATTTTGGCTCTAGATAACTTTTTTAAAAATCAGGCTTAACCCACTGCTATCAAGTCAGTTCAGACTCAGTGACCCACACGGTTTCCAAGCCTTTAAAATCTTTATGGATGTAGAGTGCCTCATCTTCCTCCCAGGAAGCAGCTGGTGGGTTTGAACTGCTGACCTTCTGGTTCAAAAAAACCAAACTCACTGCCGTCAAGTTGGATCTGACTCATAGCAACCCCTCCTTGGGTTTCCAAGGTGGTATCACTACGGAAGTAGATTGCCCGGTCTTCCTTTCGAGGAGTGGCTGGTGGGTTTGAACCACCAGCCTTCTGGTTAGCAGTCAAATGCCTTAGACACTGTGTTACCAGAGCTCCTGACCTTCTGGTAAGCAGCCAAATTACTTACTCACAAAATCAGGTTTATTGAAGTGAAGTGTAGTTTATGTACAGTAAGATTTTTCTTTTTAGTTTTTTAGAGTTATTTTAAACTTTTTACTGCAATTTATGTAAAGGTTTACAGTTAAGTATACAGTTTTATAAGTTTTGACTAACACATATAGTTGTATAACCACCCTTATAACCAAGATACAGAATAGTTCCATCACCCCAAAATTCTCTTGTGCCCCTTTGTAGTTAACCCTTCCTTTCACTTCCTTCTGATTTCCATCTCTGGTTTTGCCTGATCCAGAATGTCATATAAATGGAATCATACAGTACGTAGCCTTTTGAGTCTGGCTCCTTTAACTTAGCCTGTTGTGTTTGAGATTCATTCATGTTGCACTCATCCACGTCTTCTATTTCATTGCTGAGTAATATACCATTGCATAGGTGTAGCACAGTTTGTTTATCCATTCCCAACTTAAAGACATTTGGGTTGTTTCTAGTTTTTGATGACTGAATAAAGCTGCATTGTGGATAACATTGAGAAGAATGGGAATTCCAGAATACTTAATTGTACTCATAAGGAACCTGTACATAGACCAGGAGGCTGTCTTTCAAACAGAAAAAGGGAACACTGCATGGTTTAAAATCAAGAAGGGGGTGCATCAGGGTTGTATCCTTTCACCATACTTATTCAATCTGTATACTGAGCAAATAATCCAAGAAACTGGACTATATGAAGAAGAAGGTGGCATCAGGATTGGAGGAAGAATCATTAACAACCTGTGGTACGCTGATTATACAACTTTGCTTACTGAAAATGAGGATGACTTGAAGCACTTACTGATGAAGATTGAAGAATACAGTCTGCAGTATAGATTATATCTCAATATAAAGAACAAAAATCCTCACACCCAGATCTATAAGCAGCATTAGGATAAATGGAGAAAATATGAACTTGTCAAAGAATTCACATTGCTTGGTTCTACAATCAACGCCAACGGAAACAACTGTCAGGACATTAGATGACGTATAGCACTGGGCAAATTGGCTGCAAAGGACCTCTTTCAAGTTCTGAAGAGCAAAGATGTCTCGTTGAGGACCAATGTGCACCTGACACAAGCCATGGTATTTTCAATCGCCTCATGTGCATGTGAGAGCTGGACAATGAATAAGAAGGACCAAAGAAGAGTTGATGCTTTTGAGCTGTGGTGTTGATGAAGAATGTTGAAAGTACTGTGGACTGCTAAAAGAACTAACAGGTCTGTCCTGGAGAAAGTGAACCCAGAATGCTCCTTGGAGGCAAGAATGGCTAGACTTCGTCTCACATACTTTGGTCATGTTGTCAGAAGAGGCCATTCCCTGGAGAAGGAGGTCATGCTTGTTAAGGTGAAGGGTCAACAAGATGGATTGATACGGTGGCAGCAGCAATGGGCTCCAGTATAGCAAGAATCATGGAGCTGGCTCAGGAGCGAGCGCTATTTTGATCTGCTGTGCATAGGGTCGCTATGAGTTAGAGACGACTCGACGGCACCTAACAGCAATAACAACAAGCATTCACAGACAAATAGTACCTAACTCTTCTAGCCTTTCCTGCAATTATGCGCCCACAGTTGACAGGTGTGACTAAAGTAAATTCTGAGCTCAGTACTTTTCCTTCCTTGTTTCCTTAGCCCACATCGATATATCTTGTACTTTCCTAATACATCCTTTCTCCTTCCCCTTTCATTTCTGTTGAAATGTTATCTTCCTTCCAAGGCCTATCTCAGAAAGCCATCTTTAAGTGTTTAGGTGTTGTAGGACACTTATTTTACCTTATAGACATTCATCTACATCATCTTCCTTATTGGACTTGAGTCTCTTGCATGGGGACCAGAATTGAGTCTCATTCAACTTTTGTTTCCTCCTAGCACCTGGCACATAGTTTGCATCTTAACAGCTCAATCGATATCTATGGAGAATCTTGGTGCCTGTGGTTGTGGTAAAGGAGGAGCAGCCCCATGTAGTGTTTTTTTGGTTTTTGTTTTTTAATTTTTATTGTGATTTGGGTGAAAGTTTACAGAGCAAATATATTTTCCATACAGCAGTTCATATACATTTTGTCTCATGACATTGACTGCAATTTCCCACTATGCAACAGCTCCCCTCCCACTTCCTCCCCATAGTTACCTCTTCCCTATGTCCTTCCCTCCCGTGTACTCCTGTCACCTGAGCTCTCTCCCTGTGCACACCCAGCCCTTCTGTTCTCTCATGATTGATCTCTCCAAGGAGTGTATCTACCTTGTAAATGTTCAGCCCATATGCCTGTCTGTTATTTGACTGGAAATAACAGTCAAATAGCCACAAGAGTGAGTTCAATTCCAGACTGGAAGGGCAGCTAGAGCCATAGTTTCAGGGGTTTCACCAGGGTCTATCAGACCAACAAACCTGGTCCCTTTTTTTTTTTATGATTTTGAGTTTTGGTTCCACATTGTTCTCCCATTGTATCCAGGGTCTCCTACACGGATCTCCTTCTGAATGGTTGACAGTAGTAGCCAGGCACTATCTAGTTCTTCTGGTCTCATGGTCATATAGACTAAGGATTACATGGTCTAACAGTCCCTTGTTTCCACTTGTCTTTGGTTTTCTTCATTCTTCTTTGCTTTGGATAAAGAGAGACCTATTGTTGCATACCCAAGGAGGGGTCGCTATCAGTTGGGTCCGACTGGATGGCAAACAACATTGTTGCATCTAAGTGGCCGATTGCAAGATTTTAAGATCCTAGTCGCTACTCAGCAAAGTAGGATGTGGAACAATGTTTTTGTGTAGTATGTTATGCCATTTGAGCCTGTGACCATGGTCCTGAGCCCACAGGTCCAACTACTTGCTCCCTCAGGGTAGTTGGCTGTGGCCCAAAAGTTACCACAACCTTGTCCCTTGTCGACTCTACTGTATACCTGGCCATTCTTACAGCACATACAAATACACTTGTAGAAGCATTAGCTGCCAACCCTATACATGGTCGTGGGCACACTCCCTACTGCCTAGACAAACTTGAACATTCAGCCTGTCCACCCATCTATCCACCCATAGATCAATGTTTGCCATCATTGACAATGCACTACTGTACATGCAAAGGTGTTCATCTTTGTTGTCTGTACCTCCCATGTACCTTTCTATGTCTTCCTCAATGCCACTATGTTGATCACTTACTTTTGGTACACTGCCCTTCCCTTTACCCAAATCAGTACTTGTCTCTACCTACCTAGCAGTGTTTCCTCCCTTTCCCTCCCATCTCTGGGAAAGAAAATTTCCTTCCATATATAAACCTTTCCTTGATTTTTTATAATAGTGAACTAATACAATTTTGTCCTTCTATGATTGACTTATTTCAGTGAGCATAATGTCCTCCAAGTTCATCCACATTATGTGGTGTTTCATAGATTCTACATTATTCTTTGGGAGCTATGGTAGCGTAGTGCCTAAGGCACTTGACTGCTAACCAGAAGGCTGGTGGTTCAAATCTACCAGCCATTTATTGGAAGGAAGATTGGGCAATCTACTTCTGTAGTGATACCAACTCAGAAACCCAAGGAAGGGTCGCTATGAGTTGGGTCCGACTCCACGGCACATAACAACAAACAACAACAACATTATTCTTTAGGGTTGCATAGTATTCCATAGTGTGTATGTAAAATAGTTTGTTTATCCATTCTTCTGTTGATGACACTTAGGTTGTTTCCATCTTTTTGCTATTGTAAATAGTGCTGGAATGAACATGGGTGTGCATATATCTGTTTATGTCCTGGCTCTACTCCTCTAGGATATATACCTAGTAATGGGATTGCTCTGTCATATGATATTTCTAATTCCAACTTTTTGAGGAATCGCCATACTGCTTTCTGTAGTTTTATATATTAGTGCTTATTCCTATCCCCAGCTGATTGCCTATAGGAATCTACCTTTTCTCTAATGGTAAATAAAATCTGGATTAAGAAAAATTCAGGCTTTAGTGTTACTCAGAAGGGTCACTGTTGCATTTTTGGTTGGTATAAATATTTTCCAATGCTTTGGAGTGGAATGAGAGGGTGCGCTACCCCCTCTTCCCCATACCCCCATGGCTCTCTGCTGAGACCAAACCCACCCCATTGCCATTGAGTCTATTCTAACTCATGCCAACCCCATGTGTTAGGGTAGAACTGAGCTTCATAGGGTTTTCTAGATTGTAATCTTTATGGAAGCAGATTGCCAGGCCTTTCATCCATGGAACCCAGGGACCTCCTCAACTGAGAACCATTGTTTTAGATTATTTATGGGAAACCTGATTGCTGAACATTTCTCTATAAAAGGTTGTTTAACAGTTGGCTTGTGGTTCTAGCTAGGAAAATCACTTGTGAAATTTAGGAGAGAGACCAAAAATGATTAAATCTACCTGGTGGCATAGTGCCTAAGGCATTTGACTGCTAGCCAGAAGGCTGTGGTTCAAACCCACCAGCCACTTCTTGGAAGGAAGATTGGCAATCTACTTCCATAGAGATATTGCCTCGGAAACCCAAGGAGGGATTGCTATGAGTTGAATCAACTTGACAGCAGTGAGACATGGGAAAAGAAAGCTTGGAATAATTCAAAATATGGAGAAATCATGTCTTCGTACAACATCAGTGAATAAATTTAGCTATAATGAGATTGGAACTATATATAATGCTAGTCATAAAATTCATACAATGTCTGTGGTGATTTCTCTTTGGCTTAGGTCTCCCTAGGACACATAACTCTGGGACTTCCAAGCAGAATACATGTGCCTCTTTGGGCTCTCCAGAAAAAATTAAGCGGAAAGTAGCCTTGTCTGAGATCACCTCACCTTGTAAGAGGCCTCAGCCTTCTGAACCACAGGCCTCATCTCCAGCTGTGACAGCCCCTCTTACCAAGGGTGACAAGAAGTCTTCACCTGAATGTCACATGACCCTCAGAATCCGAGTCCCAGCTTTGAAAGCCACAGGGATTAGTGAGGAGACAAAAATTTCCCCTATCAGGGGAGGATGGAAATCCTTGGTGGTGGTGCCTGATGTGGTCTTGAAACCAGAAAGCATCAAAAAGAGGTAACGTGGACATCATCCTTCTTTCTACAGAGCAAATTGAGATCCTGTACATGACGTGAAATGTGTGGGCCACCATCAAAAATTAGAGCTGTAGGTTACAAGCCTGATTATATCACAGAATCACAGGGAAATGTCCAAAATACGGATTTCTAAGCCTCTTCCCAGACCTGGTGAATCAATCTTCAGGCATGGGGTCCAGGAATCTGCATTTCTGAAAAGCTCTTTAGATGATTCTGATACACCTGCTTATCTTTTGGGCATCACAGCTCTAGAAGATAGTTTCCCAAACCTAAATTGCTTCATAGCCCTAGATTTCATTTTAATGGTCATTTTCTTAGTTTCTGTTTTCTTTAACTAAAAACCGTTTTCAAATACATCTAGAATAAGAAGATAATGCTTCTAGAATAAACTTTGCGGTTTGACATTAGATAATGGTTCTGGTTAGCTAGTGCCACTCTGACAAGAATTATACCACAAATGGGATGGCCTTAACAGATAGGAGTTTATTTTCTTACAGTTCGGGTGGCTAGAAGTCCGAGTTCAAAGTGCCAGGCTCTAGGGGCTGGGTGAAAGTCCCTCGACCTTGGGCTTCAGCTCTGCCTCTTGCTCTTGGCCCACCGAAGCTAGATGCATCTACTGGCTAGAGGCATCACTCAGGCAACTACTGGCTGCTGAGGCTAATAAGCCCAAGGTTGACAAATAAAATGGCACAGTCCCGATGTTATCAAACCACACGGCAGGCCATTAATTAAAGTCCATTGTAAGTCCCAAGGATGGCAGAACATGGCAAGCTGCTGAACAACGACATGGCTACATGCAGGGTCCAACTGTGGCATAAGCCGGAGACCGTTCTCAAAGCTGCTGCTTATATACAGGAAGCAGACCACATACCCAAAGCAGCTACTCAGCTACTCCAATAGATTCCACCATGGAGTTAATTACCAGTCTCACCATGGGGAATAACTACATTCAGCTGCCCAGCCACTCAACCAGGCCCAGCCAAGTTGACACACAAACGTGAATACCACAATATTTGTAGATGAACTATACAGATAAAATGTGACAAGTAAGAAATGATATATTTAAGCGTTTCCTGCCCAGAAACTCTAATACTAATTTAATCCGTTGCTTAATAAATGTTTTATATTGAATTATAGCTCCATTTCTGCTAACCTGGGTAGATAGTAAATTATAAATGTGCCAGAACAAAACAGGACATGGAACTGCCTGGAATTAATATATTCTTGTCTCTTTGGGGGGTTGGGGTGGGAAGTCTGATTTAAATGATAAGCTATATGCCAACTTTGATCTCTGGTTTGATTCAAGCATCAAGTATGAACTTTTTTTAGCAAAGTTTGATTAGTTCCTGCCAAAGTAGCTGTGAAAAGAATGAGAGCCAGTCAGGCAGGCTAGCTGTCTTCTGATGCCTGTGCTGATCCTTACGTGCCTTGAACTGCTTCTTATATGTCGTTGTCATATCTTGCAGGGAGGCAAGAGAACCAGAAGCTCAGAATGAAGCTACACCTACTCCCCATCGTACCCGCAGAAAGAGTTCTCTCTTGACTTTGAATCGGATTAGGCAGCAGCTTCGGTAAGGCTGCTTCTTGACAGGCAGAAAAAACATTTATAGCCGCTATATATGAAGGCTGGCGGTTCAAACCAACCAGCCACTCCTCGGAAGGAAGAGGGGGCAATCTACTTCCATAGTGATACTGCCGCAGAAACCCAAGGAGAGGCTGCTATGAGTCGGGTCTGACTCAACGGCATATAACAACAACAACAACATGATATGTATAATCTTAGCCCGTAAAGCCTCTTATATTGTTTGTTATTTTCTAATCCACTAAAATTTACATTCCACCTAATACATCTGAGTACAAAGTTCACATAATTGTCATAGCTAGGAAGTGAAAAGAAACACTGCCCTGGACTTAGGTGGGAAGCAGTGTTGTGGGGCGAGGGGGAGCCTAAGATCATGAGCTTTGGTTCTGATAGACATGGGTTTGAACTTGGGGTTTGTCACTGTCTGTATAATGTTGAGAAGGCTACTTAACCTAAGTCTCAATTTCCCCACCTATAAAGTGAGAGTAATAATTTACAACTCATAAAATTCTTGAGGGGTTCAATGAGATAATATAAACAATGCAGTTGGTGAAGTGTCTCAGTAGTAAGTGCCCAGGAAATAGAGCAAATCCTACATTACCTGATTGCATGGCATACTTGGCAATATCTCTCCCCTACACTGACCTGTTATGAAGCTTCTCTTGTTTAGGCTTGGACACTGAATATGAGAAAATAATATTCCCAATATCCAGAGTTTTAGGTAATAGTGAAAATGACCAAGAAGAAGAAGAGTTTCTACCAGCAGCAGAGATTTCAGACTCTAGCAGTGAGGAGGAAGAGGCTTCCACACCACCCCTACCAAGAACACCCAGCAGGGTATCCAGGAACCTGCGATCTGCTGTGAAGTCATCCTTCCAGACTCCTGCCAAGACACCAAAGAAAACCGTAAGGATTTTTAGTGATGCATCCCTTTCTTAATCTAAAAGCTATGATGGCCAAGATCACACACAACTGGATTCTGAGCACAGGCTGTCCTATTTCAAAACCCAGAGACACTTGGAATATTCATGGAGGAAAGGAGCTGAGTGAACCCTAGGACTGGAAATAAATGGGGTAGATAGTTATTTTTGAGTTGAAGTTCCATTTAAGAATAAAATGGACAAGAGCTGAAACTCCTGAAGGAAGGATAAGAACTGTTTCCTCATCTTTACATTTCCCACAAAACCTAACCAAGTACTTGGTGCATAACTGGTGCTCACTTCGTATCGCATCATGGCTACTGAGCCCTGTTGTTGGTTTGGTATCTCCTGATACACGTGAGAAGTGGGAGCACTGGGCAATCCTACTTCTGTAGTGATACTGCCTTGGAAACCCAAGGAGAGGTCGCTGTGAGTCGGGGCTGACTCGACGACACATAACAACAACAACAGCTTAGTTATTGGAATGCATCAAGTAATGGTGGGGGAGATGCAGAGATCGATGACATCGGTTCTGCTTCCTGTGGAACTTTAGCAGAATGTTAAAAAGTATTAAGAGGAAAGAGTCTTCTCCGGTTCAAAGATGTTTGAGAAATACCTGGATTGAACACAGTTAAAAAGGTTTCTTTATCATATGACTTCTCAGGGCCATTAATTTTTTAATCTTCATTGTGACCTTCCAAGAGAGCATCATTGTATTAATTTCCCAATCTTTGACTCTATTCATGGCACATCTTGTCCTGTAGAACACAGTTGGGAAATACTTTGTTGTTGTTATTCTTAATTGCCATCCAGATGTGTGTCAGAGTAGAACTGCCCTCCATAAGGTTTTCAAGGCTGTGACCTTTTGGAAGCAGATAGCCAGGCCTCTCTTGAGAGTGTCTCTAGGCATTCTAACCCAGTTCTTACCCTTTGCACCACCCAGGAACTCCTTGGGAAAATGCTTGTTGTTGTTGGGTGCCCTAAAATTCGTTCCAATTCATAGTGTATATGCAACAGAATGAAACACTGCCCATCCTCACAATCAATGCTATGTTTGAATCCATTGATGCAGCCACATTGTCAATCCATTTTGTTGAGGGCCTTCCTTTTTAGCACTGATCCCCTACTTTATAATGTTCTTCTCCAAAAATTGATCCCTCCTGAAAAGAAAAGAAAAGAAAAAAAAAACCACTGCCGTCAAGTCAATTCTAATTAATAATGACACTTTAGGACAGAGTAGAACTGCCCTATCAGATTTCCAAGGCTATAAATCTTTACGGAAGCAAACTGCTTCATCTTTCTCCCATGGAGCAGCTGGTGGGTTTAAACTGCTGACCTTTTGGTTAGCAGCTGAATGCTTTAACCACTACCTGCTAGAGCTCCTTCCCTCCTGATAATGTGTCCAAATTACATGAGATGAAGTCTCACCATCCTTGCTTCTAAGGAGCATTCTGGCTGTACTTCTTCCAAGACAGACTTCTTTATTCTTCTGACAGTCCATAGTATATTCAATATTCTTCACCAACACCATTATTTAAAGGCATAATTTTTCTTGAGTCTTCCTTATTCATCGTCCTGCTTTCCCATGCATAGGGACCCATGCATGAAAATAGCATGGCTTGAATCAGGCACACCTTAGTCCTCAAAGTACCATCTTTGCTTTTTAACAGTTTAAAGAGATTTTTTACAGCAGATTTGCCCAATGCAATGCATCCTTTGATTTCTTGACTGCTGCTTAGATGGGTGTTGATTGTGGACCCAAGTAAAATGAAATCCATGAGAACTTCACTATTTTCTCCTTTTTTCCCATATAAAAAATACCCAAGGATTGGGCTTGAGTTGAGCTCAAAGAAATACTTCCAGGGAAAGGAATCCATTAGAGCATATTTGGACTAAAACCCAAACCTACTGTTGTCAAGTCAATTCTGACTCATAGCAATCCTATAGGACAGAGCGGAATTGCTTCATAGGGTTTCCAAGGCTGTAAATCTTTACGGAAGCAGACTACCGTATCTTTCTCCCACAGAGAGACTGGTGGATTCAAACTGACCTTTTAGTTAACTGCTGAGCTCTTTACTGTGCCACCATATTTGTACTAGAGGCTAGCTTACCTGGAATTTCTCAAATTGCAAATAGTTCACTATTGTTCTAGTTTGATTGTGTCTCCTGGGTGGCACCAGGAAGGATTTAAGTGCAAAAACACCTTTGTTGTTGTTGTTATGTGCCGTGGAGTCAGACCTGACTCATAGTGACCCCTCCTTGGGTTTCTGAGGTGGTATCACTATGGAAGTAGATTGCCCAACCTTCCTCCCGAGAAGTGGCTGGTGAGTTTGAACACCTTTAGCACAATAAAAACTGAAGGTCAGAAGTCCCCTTGGCTTCTTGAAATCTTCTCAGGTATTTTCAGGTTTTGTTAATTGACCATTGAGTCTGAGAGATTTCTGCATGAAGAAAGGGGGGAGAGAATGTCATCACTCTATAGCCTAGAAGATCTGTAGTTAAAATACTTTGCAGAAGCTACCATGGTGAAGATGGGGGTAGCAGGCCTGGTCTAAGTAGCCCGGGGGGGGGGGGGAAGTTGTTGCATGATTTTTTTTTTTTTTTTTTTTTTAATGTGTATATATATGCTTCACTGGTTTTGATCTTTTGTTTAATTTTATTTTTATTTATTTATTATTGTGCTTTGGGTGCAAATTTACAAAGCAGATTTATTTTACATCCAACAGTTCATGCACATTTGATTTCACAGCCCTAATTACAATCCCCAACCATAAAAAACTTTCCTCCCCTCTCTTCCTTGTGACTACCTCCTCCCTGTGACCTTTTTATGTATGCATTCCTGTCTGCCCAGCTTTCCCTCTATGTAAATGCTACCCCTCTGATGTCTCATGGTTGATTGATCTGAGAGGTGCATTTCTCTAGGGTAGGTGGGTGCATCTCCTTGGGGTAGATGTTCTGCATATGGATCTTTATACTGTTTGGCTGAGAGCCAATCCACAGAAGTGAGTTCATTTCTAGGCCTGAAGGATAACCTGAGGCCATAGTCTTGGGTTCTGCCAATCTCTGTCCAACCAGTAATTTTGGTCATTTTTGTGTTTTTTATTTTTGTTCCACATTTTTCCTCCCACTCTAACCAGGTTCTCCAGTTTTGATCCCCTTATGAGTGGTTGAGGAGCTCTGGTAGCGTAGTGCCTAAAGGCATTTAACTGCTAACCAGAAGGCTAGCGGTTCAAACCCACCAGCCGCTCCTCGGAAAGAAGATGGGGCAATCTACTTCCGTAGTGATACTGCCTTGAAACCAAAGGAGGGGTCGCTATGAGTTAGGTCCGACTCAATGGCACATAACAACAACAACTGGGTGGTTGGCATTGGTCGCTAGGCACTATTTAGTAGTTCTGGTCTGCAGTTGCGTGATTTTGACTCATAGTAACCCAGTGTGTTACAGAGGACTGCTCCATACGATATTGACAGTAATCTTTACAGAAACAGATCACCAGTCCTTTCATCTGTGGCACCACTAAGTGGATGTGAAATGCCAATTTTTAGGGTAGTACTTGAGTACAAATTTTGTGTGACCACCCAGGGACCTACAAGGAGCCCCATAGCAAGGAGGAGAAGAGAACAGGATAGTTATCCTAGACTAAGGAACTGACCCTCGGTTTTGGAATGGAAAAATCTTGTGAGACTTCCTGAAGAACTTTATTGTGGAATGTGGAAGAATTGAGTCACCTTTTCAAACAAATCGAGTAAATGACTTGACTAAAGCCTCCTACTCTTAACTTGTACTTGGATACCACAGATGGGGTTTCTTAATTTATTGTCTTTCTTTGAAGATTATATTTCACTTTTAAATCCATTTACTGCATGCTTTGATTCATTCTTTCCTCATCTTTACATTGTTTTCAGATACTGATGCTATACATGAATAAGAAAAAAGAAAACATGTTTGGACTATGAACAAAATGTATGTAATTGTGAGGCAAAAGAGAATCGTGTTTTATATAGGAAGAACTAAGGATTTCCCCATCTCTCTTCCTTTTATCAGATAATCATGAATCAAATTTGCTGAGGTGCCTTGGATGGTGTTTTGTTTGTTTCCTTTCTGAAATGTGTTCCTCTTTTGAATACAGCCTGAACGTAAAACTCCATGTCAGGCCACGCCCCAGATCCGCAGGCGAAGCCTGGCTGCCCAGGAGCCGGCCAGCGTGTTAGAGGAAGCCCGGCTGAGGTAAGAGAGATGGGCCTCTGCTTAATTTCCATAAAGCAGGGATAACCAGCAGTCATTTATGTATCTAATAAGGTAGAGTAAAATGTACGTGTGCATTTAGAAAGAAGAAACCTTTCAGGCAGCATCTGGGTGAGCTCATGAGCTCTGGACAGGAGACCATCCAGTCTGCTGCCATCATTTTCTCAGGGATGGAAAACAGTTTCAGTCAGGACCCTGCTTCTCAGTTACAGTACCCCAGAGAACCATGTGGGACCTTTTCTAAAACACATAAGCCTAGGTCCTGCCAGAAATCAACTATGTCAGTCTCATGGGATGAGGTCCACCCATGTGATTTGGGTGAGCTCACTAGGTGATAGGTGTTCTTGGTTAAGAACCACTGCATTGGGTGGTTTAGATGAACAAAGGGAGGCCAAGGATTATGAGGCCAAATGGAGAAAATTAAGAATGAATGCATTCTGTTGGGTATGGTTGAGGTTTGATGTTGAAAGTACAGACAAGTCTGCATTTATTTTTGAGGAGATGGTGATATGCTTCTAAAGTCCTCTTTTTCCCCATTTATCGTAACTATAGGCTGCATGTGTCCGCTGTGCCCGAGTCTCTTCCCTGTCGGGAACAGGAATTCCAAGACATCTACAGTTTTGTGGAAAGCAAACTCCTTGACCGTACTGGAGGGTGAGTCATGCTGAGGCAGGCAGGATTGTTTCAGGGACAGGAACTTGAGAGTATTCCACTTTGCTGGTTATGGTTCAGTCAGATGGTCTTTCCTTATTGGGAAGAAAATAGGCAAAAATCACTGTTTCAGCCTAAGGCTTATGAAACAACTGCTGCCAAAGTAATTCTATGTTGTCAACTGCTGCCAAAGTAATTCTATGTTGTTGTTGTTGTTGTTGTTATGTGCCGTCGAGTCAGCCCCGACTCATAGCGACCCCTCCTTGGGTTTCCGAGGCAGTATCATTATGGAAGTAGGATTGCCCAACCTTCCTTCCGAGGAACAGAAATTCTGCTTTCCAGATAGAATGAAACTGGCATTACTTGGGAATGTAGTTGGTGTACAGTGTTGCTTGTGGAATGGGTCATTCTATATAAACAGGTCCTACTCTGACCATCTTCCAAGGATGGTCCTTACTGCTTTCACCTCCACATTTCAGGGGTCTTAGACCTTCCCTCAGTACATAGTCCCACACTCCTAGCTGGTTATTGTGTGAGGAGGTGGGTACAGACACAGCCCACAGGTCTTCCTTTCTTGTCCTAGGTGCATGTACATCTCTGGGGTCCCTGGGACAGGGAAGACTGCCACTGTGCACGAGGTCATACGCTGTCTGCAGCAGGCAGCCCAAGCAAATGATGTTCCACCCTTTCAGTATATTGAGGTCAATGGCATGAAGCTGACAGAACCCCATCAAATCTACGTGCAAATCTTGCAGGTAAGCAAAGCCTTTGGGGCTTTTTGGTCATGTAGTGATGATTTTGGAAGAGCTTGTGACTTGTCTGAATTTCAAACACAGATTTTCTTCCCTTTTTTTTTTTTAATCTTGTTCTTTGACGCCTGCTCTTGTCCTTCCAGGTTAAAGTTGACACTAAAGTAGAAGGCAGAGTATAGGATATTGAAGGCCTCAGGCTAAATAGTTTCCTCTGCTTCCAGATTTAGCTTCAAGCCCAGGGCAGTAAAACCCTTATAGCTTACCATAGCTTAAAGTGCTTTTCCCCCAATGCAGAAGCTGACCGGCCAAAAGGCAACCATCAACCATGCGGTAGAACTGCTGGCCAAGCGATTCTGCACACGAGGCTCCCCGCAGGAAACCACTGTTCTGCTTGTGGATGAGGTGTGGAGGTGCCACGGGGACTGGAGGAGAAATGGGATGGTACTTGATCAATGCTCCAAAGCAGTTACTGGGCAGGGAGGAAGTCCTGGCTCCTTCCTTCATAAATCTGAGCCCATTCTCTGGGGTGAGGGGGATGTGTCCTAACTTGGAGAATGACCTCTCTTGACCTCTTTGCTGTTCCTGTGGTATGATCTGGGAAACACATGTAGCCAAAACAGTGGTAACACTCTCGGGCCCTGGCTCGATCTCTGGGACTGACCCCACATCTCTTGTCATTTCCCTGACAGCTCGACCTCCTGTGGACTCAGAAACAAGACGTAATGTACAATCTATTTGACTGGCCGACTCACAAGGAGGCCCAGCTCGTGGTTCTGACCATTGCTAACACAATGGACCTGCCAGAGCGGATCATGATGAACCGGGTGGCAAGCCGACTGGTAGGTGCTAGGACAGCTCTCAAGGTTTTCTTACAGTTCCATAATGAGTTCTGCAAAAATGAATACATAGGAAGATAAAGTGAATGGGACAAAGTAATTAAAATAATTTTCCAAATGTTATCCTTTCTATGTTGGAATTTAATGTGGCGTCATTGCATGATTTTCTGCAAACGTCACACCTTGGTGTTCTTGTCCCTATGCACTTTTGTATTACACTGAGCCATGGAGGTTTAACTTTTTTAAAAATATTTATGTGCAGGTAGTGTTAGATGATTGGACTATCGCAATGAACAGGCATATGTGGTCTCTGCCCTCACGGTCCAGGAAGTACAACATCAAAGATGTATTTGTAAGCAGAATGTTTGAAGCCAGGGGCTATGGCCATGTGTATCATAGTAGATCCTAAGATCTTCCCACCCACTGAGTAGAACATCTCTGGCTCATCTGCTTTTAACAATTCTGCTGCAATAGAAGATTTTTAAACTAAATGAAGAAACAGCTGGAGAAGTACTGCCCTACAGGATGCCACTGGCCACTGTCAGCAGCAAAAGGAGCAGAAAGCAGTCCTGGGATGAAATGTGTGAATTGTTACATGGCACTTGGAAATTGGGTTTGGGACCTGCAGGTTTGCTTTCCCCAGGGGCAATTGGTGTGGAAATTCAGTGACCTTGTTTCTCTTTCATCTTAACTCTGCAGGGTCTTACCAGGATGTCTTTTCAGCCCTATACTCACAGCCAACTACAGCAGATCCTAAGGTCCCGACTCAAACATGTAAAGGCCTTTGAGGATGATGCCATCCAGTTGGTAGCCAGGAAGGTAAGTCGTCTTCAGGGAGCTCATAGCTGCACCTACAAGGCAGCTAGCTATAAGTCTTGAGCATTTGCTAGGTGTGAGGCCCTATGCTGGGTGCTTTGAGGCTGGAGTTTAGGAAGTCCTATAAAAACAAATTCCAAAAAATAATAGAAACATAACTGAAAAATTTCTTAACCTTTCCACTAACTAATAAGAAGGCCATGAGAATGGTGGGCTTATATACAAATTAACAAATAATTCAGGGAGCAAACAGTTTTATATTATGAAGAAGGCAGCATAGTTAGAGTCAGGTAGACCGACCTGATATGAATTCTGGCTCTAGCACTAAGCAGGTGGGAGGTTATAAGAGAATCGTTTAAATGTTCCCTGAGCCTCAGTTTTCTTCTCTGAAAAAAGGGGGGGGGGCACTAATAATAGCTACCTTATAATGTCCTTGTGAGAGTTAATTGAGATCTTGTCTATAACATGCCTAGCAAGGTTCACATTCTGTTGTAGATCTGGAATATTGGAAACCTATGTCCTTTAAGGTCATTAGTAGAATGAGATTCTACTACAAACCAATGGAGGAACAAAATGGATTAAACGATTGTTTAAAGCTAAAAAAAAGAAAAAAACCACAAATTCACAAGTATTTCAGCACTGAAAGAACTAAACTTATTTCTGGTTTCTTTTTACTCCATATGATCTGATCTCTGAATACCTATAACAGCAGCACACATGTAACACCTGCTCAGAGTTGATGTTGTATTAGATTTGGTGGTTGGAGGTGAGCCAGACAGAAATGGTACCTGTCTCCAGACTGCTTTCTAGGAAACAGTTCCTAAGAGAGATCCTCAAAATGACCACCTAACCAGTCTATTCACCAGTTTTTCACTTCTGCTGTGTTGCTATTAGCAGTGTCTCAGAGTTCTTTTTCTCTGAATAGTCTTTTTTTTTTTTTTTTTATCATTCTATATACACCCTCTTCTCACTTATTGACATGGTTAAGTTCCAAAGACCACATCATTATATAACTGAATAACTGAGATTCATGGCCCAGCCAAGCTAACACATAACCTTAATTATCATAGCCAGCACTACTCTCACCTTGCACCTTAACATTCATGAATGCCAGATGAGCACTGTTAATGTGAAAAATAAATACGTAAATAAATACACATATATACACACACACACACAGGATACCAAGACATGAACGGTAGTTATCTCCGGGAAGTGTTTTGTGTGTACCTCTGCCTCATGATTGCCTTGTCCTGTATTTCATTTGCATTTACAACAGTAGTGACTACTGTCAGGTGGGCTGATATCGATGCCCAGTGGCAAGTGTGACAGGCAACATCAGGGGAGGGGTGAGTGGGTACACAGAACAGCTCCACCTGAGTGGGTGGAGGCATGCGAGAGTTATATGACAGGCTCAGCTCTGTGCTGCTGGAGCAACACCCACAGCCGGTTAGGGTTCTTAGCTGGGACCTGTAGCAGCTCCGTGGGCTGAAGCTTGGAGTGGAGAAGTAGAGCAGAATGAATCCAGCTGTGCAAGAGGAGGGCGAGGTGGGGCTGGGTGTGCAGAAGGAGGGTCTGGGGCCCTACCAGCAGCACAGGAGAAGGAAAGAGGCAGTCTCACAGTGGGAGCCCTACCTCTGGGTGCAAGGGGACGTAGGGGAGAGAGGAACTCATACTGGGTACTAGAGCAGGTGCCCATGTTAGGGGCTGGCTTTAGGAACACAGGGAGGACACTGAAAGTTCCGGGACAATGGAGCAGTATTGGGAGGGTAGCTGGCACCTCAGCTGTAGATCTGGAATATTGGAAACCTATGTCCTTTAAGGTTGGTGTTCCTGGGAGTGGCCCCTAAATGCTAGGAGAGACTGGAGCTGGTAGGGAGGGCCTGGCCCTTGCGCCTAGAGGCCACATGGAGAGGGGCTCCTAAGTGTACAGTAAGTGAATTCTTGGGATACAAGAGGAACAGGTGGTTCAGGTTGTCCAGGAAACATACTACCTAGAGGGGAAGGGACCCCAGGAAAGAGAAAGCCACCCTCGGGCACAGGACCCAGAGTCAAGGGCATAGGAGACAGTAATGTTAGGGTGAGGGAAGCGCAGCCTGGGGGCAGAGGAGGAGCAGAAGAGCACTGTGAACCAGGGAGAGTTGGAAGCCACTGCCCAATGGCAGACTGTGGCCTGAAGGATCCTCTTATGCCACCTTCATCTGGGCATTATTGAAGCCATGTCTGCAAGGAGGCTGCAGAAGGCAGCAGGTAAGGATGACATGTAATTTTCACATAACTCTGATTTTTACATGACCTGGTCTTCGGAACTTAACCATGTAGATGAGTAAGGAGGGGTATGTGTGTATTCAGTTTGATTTTCATTTTTTTTTCCAAACTAGACTTTATTAAAGATAAAACCAACCTTTATTAAAGATACTTTTCTTAAGTAATCATGATATTTCATCAGGACATGGACAAATAATCATTAACAGTATAAAACTCTCAAATTCCCTTCTTCAATGGACTATCAAAATCAGAAAGCTGCTGTAAAGCCCAATAAAGTCTTCATGGGATGCTCTGAACAGGGAAAGTTTAGAATGAGGATAGACATTGTCACCTTTAGCATTGTTGTTAGACAACTTTCTACAAGTGTCGGCTCTGACTGTTGGAAAATGGCAGAATTATCAATCTAAAGATCCACATTATAAAAAACGGAACCACTGCTGTTTTGAGGGATGCCACTGAGAGGGTATTACTGGAAAGTCCAGATTGCTTGACATACTAGCAGCCAATTTTGGGGGGTGGTTTAGATCCCAATAGGGCTCTGAGTTTAGGTGTGAAAACAAATTTTAGCTTTTTCACACCTCAAAGCGTTTGTGCCAGCGTGGCTGATGTGCGTAGTGTCAGGGAGTCCCTTCTGGGAACCAAGAGGAAGTCTCTCAAAACTAAAAGGGAAAGATATTTTCTTCCACCTTAATCTGGTTTCTCAGACATTCTGTTGGTGACATTTGCCCCTTCCTTAAAAAAACAACGCTGAAGTGGTCTGTGGGCTAACAATACAGCTTTTTTTTTAAAAAAAAAAAGTAAGATTCTGCGTTTTTATAAAACTTAATGAAAAATATTATTTCAAACTGTATAGTAACCAGAAGTACCACAGTTATAAAAAATGCACACACTTCACTTGGCATCTCCAGCACCTTCAGCTTTCTGTGCCTGGTTTATTTTGGCATCTTCGTTTTTCTGCAGGGTTCTTTCCATCCTTGCCTACGTCAACTTTCCCCTTTGAGTACCTTCTCTCACTTCTTTGTTGTTGTTGTTGTTGTTATGTGCCGTGGAGTCGGACCCGACTCACATAGCGATCCCTCCTTGGGTTTCCCAGGCAGTATCACTACAGAAGTAGATTGCCCCATCTTCCTTCCGAGCACTTCTTTGTAGGGACCTTTTTTTTTTTTTTTTTTTTTTTTTTTCTTTTTTTTTTTTTTTTGCTTAGGCCCTGGCTTTGGAGGAGCAGGTTTAGCAAATAAACCTTGCTGTGGCTTATCCTTCACCTTGGCTTTATTTATCTCCCTTAACATCCCCTTAAGCCTTCTTGGAGGTGATGACAGCAGGATGCAGGAGCTAGACACAAGCATGGAGCAGTGTGCAGGTTTTGATCAATCCAGGCGTCATTGTCATCACTTCTTCATACTGCTCTCAGTTTCCTTTTTAAAACTTACTATATCATGAACATGAGAATGAAATCATCATTTTGGGGATGTATCCAGGCAAGATTTACACCTGGGCCTCAGGTGAATGGTGGAGACTGCTGGCAAGTACTGGGAATACAGAAACTGATAGGTCTTTGCAGGCTGCAATGAGTCTTAAGAATTCCCTCATTGATGCCTCCTTTGCCATGAAACCAGAAAAACTGGATAGTTCCCAGCCAGCATTACTAAACATTTTGATCAAAGATTCTACAGAACAATCATGATCAAAAGGGGGAAATGTAGAAAAAAATTTCAAACTCCCATGGACTCTAAACTTTCTGGAACTACAGAGGTTGGATGCCTTGGAAGCTAGATGAACCCCTAAAACTACTGCCTTGTAAAATCAAACAACAATTTAGCTGAACTAGTAAAGAATGTCTACCGCTGTGCTCAAGATCTATCTGTATGGGATGAAGTGGGCAATAGCAACTTGAAAGATTAGATAGGAACCTCAGGGGCAGTGAGTTTATGTTAATGAGGGGGGAACAATGGAGGAAAGGTGGGTGAGAATGGTTGTACAACTTGAAGAACGTTATGTCACTGGATTGTACATGAAGAAATTTTTAAATTGCTGTGTACTCTCAACAACAATAATTAAGAAGAGAAGAATTCCCTCAGTGAAACTTAAAATACAAGTAGCATTCTAAGTCAGCTTGGGAAGGAGCGAAAGAGTCCCGGTGGAGGGAGCCCAGGATCTCCGCAACCTCTGTGCACACGGAAAGGAAAATGGCAGCAGCTAAGCTGTTGTGCGTTGACCTGGTTTCTCTGGGGCCTCGGACTTTATGACTTTCTTTCTTTTCCCTATTCCCATTTCTGACTGTCTTAGCCATGGACCCGACAGTCCCAAATTCACCACGTGCTGTGAGAGGGGCTCAGGCTTTGGCTTTATCTGCAGATAGGCTCTCCTTGGCCTCTTGGTCTTGACTGCTTATATAGTCACATTGCTGTCTTCCTGGAAGGATCAAGAACCCTCTTATTTTCAGATGAATCAGTCAGTAATGATATTGGGCTATGGGTCTCTTCTGGACTTTATTTTCCTTAAAATTAAAGCTGAGAATGTTTGCCCTTTCCATTGTGGAGTTACCTGTAAAACCAAGACAGAGGTTTGGACTCAGAGAGTAGAGTCCCATAGGCAGAGAAGAATAATGCCTATGTGTGCACATGGCTCCCAGCCAGGACTAAGGACTTAACTTTCCAGCACCACCTTTCCTTTTTAGCCAAATACAGACTTGATGTTTATAGATAAAACAGGTTCAGACAGTGAAGTCACTTGCCCAGAGTTGAACATCTGGGTAAATGGTAGAACCAGGATTCAGACTTCATGCTCTGATTCCAAGACCAGTATTGCATAGGTCTCCTGGGCTGAGATGGCAAGAGGACCTCAAGTGATAAAACATGTCCCCCTTGCAGGTAGCAGCCCTCTCTGGAGATGCACGACGCTGCCTGGACATTTGCAGGCGTGCCACTGAGATCTGCGAATTTTCCCAGCAGAAGCCTGGCTCTCCAGGCCCGGTCACTGTGGGCCACTTAATGGAAGCTGTGGATGAGATGTTTTCATCGTCATACATCACTGCCATCAAGTAAGATGTTTCTGCTTCTTTAACCTGGACCTTTCCAGAGAGGTCCGAGTCTGAGAAGGCCATGGAAATATGTTTTCCTTTGTGAGCTTTTAGTCATTCAATCTGAATTAACTGAAGGCATCTTTTTCTGAAGGGGCATAGTCTAGTCAGGAAGACAGAAAGGTAACCTTCAGAAGATAACCACCATTTGAGCTATACTGTAGTGTGGCTGTCCTATGAGTATTGGTGGTATTACTGGAGTGCAAGTGCTGTGGGAACAAGAAAAAGGTAAAAGTGCATGATGATACACCCAGCGCATGAAATGTACTTTACTGTGTTCCCTGCTTCCCAAGGAACATTTTCCATAATAGTTCGAGACTTTAGGCAGAAAAGCTAACCTTGCTGAATAATACAGGGGAACATACTTCTCAGTTCTTTATCTTTTCTAAAGACACAGAGACACTATTTGACTTTTCCTGTGGGCTGGTGGTACAGTCACTAGGGAGAACTCACATCTCCTCATTTCCTTTAAGAAATTCCTCTGTCCTGGAGCAGGGTTTCCTGAGAGCCATCCTTGCAGAATTCCATCGGTCAGGTCTGGAGGAAGCAACGTTACAACAGGTGATCTATCTCCTTCTGGGTTTTGATCTTGTTCCTTTAAAATATATGGAAATTTCAATCAGTGTATCTCAGTTTGTCTAATTTGTGTCATTGTGATTGTGCTAAAGAATATTGGGCCAGCACCTATTTTTACGTGATAGAGACTTTAAGGAGCTGGTTTGAAGATTGAAGGCCTGCTCTGTGCCAGATGCTGTCCTAGGAATGTGAGATTCAAAGATGAATAAAACCAAAGTTACTGCCCTTATAAACTCATATAACTTAATGTGTAGTGAGGACAAGGTTTCCAGAATGATACCATGTTTAGAAACAAATCACAAAGATCAAAACCTGAATATTATTTGAGGTCACATAAAAGGAATCATTAGATTGCACACCTTATGGGTGCATTGTAAGACTTTTCGGTAGGTAACGAGCTGCCTTCGAAGATGAATTGCTAAGATGTGTTTGAGTTGTGTGCTTGAGAGTGTATATCCCTGTTCTATGGTTTAGACATCTTTATTTAATTAACCTAGAGAGGTCAGGAAGACATTTTCATTTTTTAATGGGTTGGTGGTACATTGTTTATTAAAAATTTAGTTGCTGGTCATGTTTGACCACCGTTGTTCCTCTTCTTAGAACCCAAGACAGCTCTTCTGCAGAGAGTGACTCAATCTAACTTGTAAACATTTCCTGAACATCTATCTATAGCGTGTCACTAATTGACGGATGCCGGGGGCCCTGCGCTGAAGCAGTGAATGTCTCTGCTCCTAATAAGCTCCCAGTCACAACAAGTACAGGGTGACCAGGAAGTGTCACAGACTCACCTGACCTGGGGAGGAGCGGGAGGTGCTTTGTGATGGTTTGCTGGCTGTCCTCGTGCCTCCTCTTACTTATTCTCTCTGGGCCTTTTTGCTTTTCAAAGGGTCATGCTTTGGCCCCTGCTCACTGTATCTGCTAGGGAAAATGCCCTTGTAGTAAAACTTGAGTGGAATTATGATAGTCTCAGTTGTGGCACTCTCAGCCTCTGGAGACCAGGACTATTCATGTAACAGTAACAATTGCTGTATATTTTATATTCATTAATTCATGAGAGATATGGAAGTACATTTTATAAATAAAACTGAAGCTTAGAAAGCGAAGTCACTGCCCAAAGTTGCACACCTAGGTAACTGGTGGAACCAGGATTCAGACCTATGTTTAGTTCCAAGGCCAATATTGCATTCTGCCCTGCATTTGTGCACCATCGGGGTACCCACTGATGACTTCTGGAGCATTTCATAGGCACCAAAGGTCTCATTTTCCCAAAAGAAGGAAAGAAATGATCAGACTCAGAACCAGTCTCGTCTCTCCTCTGAACCCTTCAGGCATCTTACCTTGGCTCTGTTTCTCTTGTGCAGATATACAGTCAGCACCTGCTTCTGTGCAGAATGGAGGGACTGCCCTACCCCACCATGTCCGAGACCATGGCCGTGTGCTCTCGCCTGGGCTCCTGTCGCCTCCTCCTTGTGGAGCCCAGCAGGAACGACCTGCTTCTCCGTGTGCGCCTCAACGTCAGCCGGGATGACGTGCTGTATGCACTGAAGGAGTGAAGGCTTCGACGAGGAAGGACTGTGGCCTGCTGCTTTTTAAAGACTGATTTTCTTCTTTTTCTAAGCACACGGAATTGTAGCAAAGTATACTGAGTGGGAATGGCGGTGGTATCTATTTTGAAATTGCCATTAAATTGCTTTCTTCAGAGTGTGTGGGAAGCTTACAGTCATTATTGCTAGCTGTCAAGTTAGCCCTCGACTCGTGGTGACAACACGCACAGTGGAATGAAGTGCTGCCCAGTCCTGAACCATCCACATCATCTGTTATGGCTCAGATCATTGTGATTTGTAGGATTTTCATTGGCTGATTTTCAGAATAAGATCACCAGGCATTTCTTCCTAGTCTTAGTCTAGAAGCTCTGCTGAAACCTGTTCAACATCATTGCAACATGAACACCTCCACTAACAGACACATTGTGGCTGCACATGGGGTGCATTGGACTAGAATCGAACGTAGGTCTCCCACATGGAAAGTGAGAACTCTATCACTGAACCACCACTGCCCTTCCCACAGTGGCCCTCCCTCTGATGGTTATTCTCTGTTAACTAGCCCAGCCACTGATATAGTAGCAACATACTCTGTGCAGATATTTGTCATCTAATGTCCATTTGGGCAATGTCTACCTGCATGTACATGCATGAGCCAGAGCCCCTAAATGTCTTGAGTTTAGAGCCCCACTTCTGCCTGGCTGCTGCACCTGGCCCAAAAGCCTCCTTGACTGAAGAGATGGAGGCCCATGCCCAAGTTCCCAATGCCAGTCCCCCTCAGCTCCTGTGACTCGGCAGGTCTAGTCCCCACATTTTGCCTAAAGGGCACTGAAGTAAAAGTATAAGCCCCCGGTTCCCCAGGCCTGGCTCTGATGCCGTTGTCCACTTGTCCCACATTATCCCCACACCAGGCAGGTTCTCACAGGCAAGCTAGCTTTCCCTGTTGCTGGCTTAGAGAAAGCAGCAATAGCCAGGTGGGACTTGGGGGAACACACCGAGGCATTTGCAGCAAGAGCTTCCTGGGCTCCAGGGCATGACTGCACAGTAGTCCTAGTGAGCCCTGGGAGCCCTGCACCCTGTGGAAATGTTTGTACAACATCCAAATCACATAACATTCCTATTTCTCAGAATGTATTATGGATGCTAAGTGATACATACCTGTATGTGTATAAATGTATGCACACAATATACTTGTATCTATATAAGAGTTCTGGGAGGATATATAAGGAATTGATTACATTGGTTGCCTTTGGAAAAGAAAACTGAATGGCTAGGATTAGGGACGGTAGGAGTACTTTTCACTGTGTCGTTATGTGTCTTAAATATTAACCATATGAATGTAACAAAGTTTATTAAAAAAAAGAGCTATTGGGAGAAATACCAGTAATAAATAGTCCCTACCAACAAATGGCTAGAAATGCAATTTTAAAAAAGTACCATTTAACACAAAAACAAATCTTACAAAAAGGAAAAAGAATTACACAGCATAGAAAATATGAACTACAGTAGTAGGAATAAGTCTAAAAAAGAGATATAATTAATCTTTAAATCCCAATTGAAATCTTGGTAGGGTTTCTGCTATAACTCTGCAAGTTAATTCTAATTTTTGAACTAAATATTGCCAAGTTATTTCCAGAGTACTTGTCCCTATTTATACACCCATTAGCAGGGTATTTGGGTTCCAACTGTTCCATATGGTCACAGAAAGGTTTTATTGGACAATAATGGACTGAGGATCAAAGTTATAAAGATCTCTATAATTAATAAATAAAATGAGCATGAAAAAGTGGAAACATAGTAAAAGCATGTAAATCAAAAGCTATTGGTATCTATTAAAACTTGTTTTAGTTTGAAAAATGCAGCAGTCCTAGGAACCAGCAATTCTATTCCTAAGTATATGTACTAGACAAAGATGTATACACAAGGAATCATACGCAAGAATGTTCACAGTTATTGTTTGTAACAGCAAGCCACTGGGAAAGTGAATTGTGTATTTTTATGCTATCAAATACCATACAGAAGTGAAAATAACTTGATAAAAGTATGTTTATCAATATGGATGAAATTTACAACCAGGGCTAAGTGGAAAAAGAAGTTGAAGGACATATGCAGTATGATACTAATGACATGTTTAAAAGCTTGGAAAACGTGTTGCTTGAGGATACACATGCCTAGTAGAGATAGAAATACTCAGGAACACTAAACACCACATTCCAGATGCTCACCACCTGTTTGGGAAAGGGAAATTTTGCAATATGTAGTGTGTGCAGGTGCCTTCAACTGCATTAGTGAGTTTTTTCTTAAATGTGGTGGGTGTCCATGTATTTATTAATTCATATAAGAAATAGGAAATATTGACACTGCTTGGTCACAGCCAGCTACCCAGAGGGACTGAGTAGTTGGACCTGTGGGCTCGGGACCATAGTCGCAGGGGACATCAAGCTCAATTGGCATAACATACTATACAAAACATTGTTCCACCTCCTACTTTGGTGAGTAGCAACTGGTATCTTAAAAGCTAGCAAGCTGCCATCTAGATGCAACAATGGGTCTCTCGTCGTCAAGAAGAAAGAAGAAAACCAAAGTTAATGGAAACAATCAGTCCTATCGACTGGTACACCATCCAATCTGCAGCCTATACAACTATGAGACCAGAAGAACTAGATGGTGCCCAGCTACCACTGTCATCCACTTGGAAGGGATGTAGGAGATTCTGGATAGAGAGGGAGAACAATGTGGAACAAAACTCAAAATCATTTGGAGGGGGGAAAAAAAAAAAAAAGAAGGTGGGGACCAGGTTTGCTGGTCCAATAGAGCCTGGTGGAACCACTGAGACTATGGCCCCTAGCTGCCCTTCAGGTCTGGAATTGAACCCACACCTGTGGTTTCCAGCCAAACAAAGTACAGGCATGTGAGTTAAACATTTACCTCAAGTAGACACACGCCCTGGAGAGAACAATCATGGGAGAAGGAAGGGCTGCTTATGCACAGGGAGACAGCTCAGGTGGCAGGAGAGTATGGAGGGATGGACACGGAAGAGGTAACTATGGGGAGGAAGTGGGAGGGGAGCTGCTGCATTGTAAATTTTGGTCAATGACATGAGACAAAGTATATGTGAACTGCTGTATGGAAAGTGAATTTGCTCTGTAAATCTTCACCCAAATCAAAATAAAATAAAATTAAAAATTAAAAAAAAAAATAGGAAATACTGAATGCCTACTATGTACAATGTGCTGCTCTAGACACTGGAGATACATTAGAGAGCAGAAAACATTTCTGCTCTTATAAAGTTTGCATCCTAAAAATTGTTAAATACGTGTATCTGTATGTATCTTAAACATTACAAAATAAAAATTTAAAAATATACAACTCAACAAAAAAGACAACCCAATTAAAAAATGAGCAAAGGACGTGAATGGACATTTCTCCAAAGAAGATATACAAGTGGCCAATAAGCACATAAATTGATGCTCAGTGTCATTAGTCATTGACAGGTACTGCTGAGTTAATTTTGACTCAATGACCTCGTGTAATGTGGCAGAACTGCCCCATTGGGTTTTTGGCTGTAATCTTTCTGGGAATAGATTATGAAATTCCAGTCTTTCTGTTAACAGCAGAGCACCTACCTGTTGTACCACCAGGGATCTTTCACACCCACTAAACAAAAATAAATAAATAAACTCATTGCCACTGTGACCCTATAGGACAGAGAAGAACAGCCCCATAGGGTTCCAAGGCTGTAAAGCTTTATGGAAGCAGACTGTCACATCTTTCTTCTGTGGAGGAGATGGTAGGTTCAAATCAACCTTTTGGTTAGCAGCTGAGCCCTTAACCACTGTACCACCAGGACTCCTTTCACACTTGCTAACAAAAAAAAAAAAAAACACTGTCATCAAGTCAATTTCGACTCATACACAGTGATCCCCACTGGGTTTCCAAGGCTATAAATATTTACAGAAGCAGACTGCCCCATCTTTCTTCTGTGGAGCAGCTGGTGGGTTTGAACCAGCCTTTTGGTTAGCAGTCAAATGCCTTAACCACCAGAGTTCCTTCCTACCCACTCACTGCCATTGAGTTGATTCTCTCATAGCAACCCCCACTGGGTTTCTGAGGCAATAAATCTTTACAGAAATAGATTTCCCCATCTTTCTTCTGCGGAATGGCTAGTGGATTTGAACTGCCAGCCTTCTGGTTAGCAGTCAAATGCCTCAAGCACTGTACCACTAGAGCTCCTTCTCACAGCCATTAGGATGGCTATATTCAGAAAATTGGAAACCAGCATGTATTGGCAAGGACATGGAGAAATTGGAAGCCTCATGCATTGCTGGTGGGAATGTAAAATGGCAGCCATTGCGGAAAATAATTCAGCTGTTTCTCAAACAGTGAAACACAGAATTACCACATTACCCAGAAATTCCACTCTTAGGTGTATACCCAAGTATGGTGGTTAAGTTTGTGTGTCAACCTGGCAGGGCCTGGTTGAACAGCTGGGTAGCTGGATGTAGTATTATTCCCCATGATGAGACTGGTAATCAACTCCATGATGGAACCTGTGAGCAGCTGAGTAGCTGCCTTTGGGTATGTGGTCTGCTTCTTGGATATAAAAAACAGCTTTGGGAATGGTCTTTAGCTTATGGCATGCTTGAACCCTGCATGTAGCTGTGTCGTTGTTCAACAGCCTGCCATGCCCTGCTGACCTTGGGATTTTCAATGGACTTGAATTGATGGCCTGTCATGTGGTTTGGTAACATCGGGACTGTGCCTTTTTATTTGTCAATATTTGTCAACCTTGGGCTTGTCACCCTCAGCAGCCAGCAGCTGCCTGAGTGTAGAAAGACCTCTGGCTTCAGTGGGCCTGGAGCAAGAGGCAGAGCTGAAGCCAAGGTTGAGGGGATCTCACCCAACCCCTAGAACCTGGCACTTTGAACTCAGACTTCTTGTTGTTGTTGTTGTTTGCCGTCGAGTCGGCCCCAACTCATAGCGACCCCTCCTTGGGTTTCCGAGGCAGTATC